GTCTATAAGGCGTAAGAGTCAAATGAATATCTAACCCTAGCCTCAAGTAAAAATATAACTTAAAAAAACTTTTATAATCATTTCACTCTCAATGAAGCATTTTGGGTGCAGATGCTGGCTAAGGATACGCTGAGATAGGATCAAATCTTTAAGATATTCTTTAAAATTCAATGCACACTTACTTCCACCGGATGGAGGCTGTGATTAACAATAAAGGATAGTCCAGCAATTGGAACAACCAATACTATCAGGCGGAGAGTGTCATCGTCCTTTTGCAAAGTTGATTTAAATTTCAAATACATGAAATAAACAGTCGTGTAGCTAAGTAAAACGAATAGTATCTTTAAAACGGTATTATAAACCGAGATGAAGGAAAAAAATATATCAAGATAACGTGTAGTGAAGACGATAGCAAACAGTATTTGAGTCTTGCCAGAAAGGCCTGAAAGAATAACGAATAAATATTCTTACCTGCCACAGATCTCGTCATCCATATTTTTACCAGTAAAATAATGATAGCCCCTAGATGGGACAAATCACCTACGAGCCTAAATAGATTCATCGCGCCACGGGTGCGTGCATAATATACGTGGCAAAAGCCATATAATTATAACAATAATCATATTTATGCATTAATAAATAAAGTTTTATTTGAACAAATAATAAATAGACACACTTGTTTTAATTATTACCAAAGCAGTTCGTGTTTTGATGGTTTATTAACTTCCGATGCTATCAAGTGTTAAAAGTCTCTTTGCTAGCGCGTACAACAACATAACTTGGTCTCCAGACGAAAATTGGCAACAAGAAAAAGAATTGAAGCCAATCAATGAAGTTACGGTAAAAACTGAAGAACCGGCACTAGAGACAGTTGACAATCCGTCTAATATTGCATCAACTCTCTCTGCCGCTTTAAGCATGGGCTGTATGTATTTATTCTTATAATTTTTTAGCAAATATTTATTATGTTGCTGCAAGATGTGCAGATGATGTTTCTTCTCTCGTTTCAAAGACTGCAACAAATTTTGATTACAAAAGTATTATACAAAAGGTAGTTGCCTTTCAATTAA